TGATTCTTAAGAAAGATTTATAGAAAACTAAGGAGAGTACTGAGTATGATTAAAGTTATTAAAAGTTTAAAGTTTAAACAGCCATTTAAAACAGCATATTTAAAACAGCATACCCCACCATTTGGTATCAGAGCAAAAAAGGAAGTAGTGATCGGGATAGAAAAGGATTATGATATTAGAACTTACAGGAATTAGAAATAATAGATTGTCTTGTCAAGTAAAATATAGTATAGATATTTGTGGTTATTTTGAGGAAGATAATATAGTTGGAACCTGGAGTAAAGATTCAATTGAAATCTTAGAAATATTTAAAGTTCTTAAATATTTACCTTTTGAATTAAGAGAAAACATGGTAAAAAGAGTCTTAGTAGAAGAATACAGACATATTTTTATAACAGAGCATATTTACTACGATTTAGAACTCTGGATATCAATAGAAAGCTTGAATGTTTAGATTTAGAAATTTTAAGAAATACTAGTAAAAAAGTACAAACAGTTGATAATAATATAGTGAAGTGTAATTTAGATAATAAACACAAATTACATAGTTTATTTTTAGAAGATCCAAGTCAGAATTGTATAGTAGATTTGATCATAAATTTATCAAGAAATTTAGATCTTCCTTTAGTCCATTTATAAAGGCTAAGTTGTTCTAAATCTCTCATAACTTTTCTTTTTATACTCATATGTCCTGAATTTGGATCTGCTCTTGTTATTAAGATTTGTATTTTATTAACAAAATTATAAGGATTACTTCCCATACTAACTAGTTGTTCAAATTCTTGTTTTTTTTTCTAATTTGAATCCTTCCCACATTGCTTTTACACTTTCTCCTAAAAATGTTTCTAAATATCTATACATATCTAAATCTTCCATTTCTTGAAAATTTCTAATATAATGTCCTATTATAGTATTCTTCCAAACATCTATAACATTATTCCATGTCTGTGGGTCATGTGCTGTAATATTTAAAATATGTGCTTTGTGATCTGATTGGAATTCTATTTTCTTTTCTAAGGGTCTTTCACTTCCTCTTGCTATGTATTTTCCTTCTGTATTATTATATAAAGGATAAACTCCTCTTGGAGGAAATCCTCCACTATAGACAATTGTTTCATGTTTAACTGTTCTATCAAAAGGAGTGTCACTAAAAGTTTTATATGTATTTGAGTCTTCCATAAGTTATTTTATATAATTAAAATCTGAATTATCTGAATCATTATGTTCTTTAATAGTTCCTATTCTTATGTTTTGTTCTTGGTCATAATATAAATATTCAGATTCTGTAATTGTTTTGTTAAGGTACATTTGATCTTCTAATTCTAATAATTCTTTATTATCTAAATTCATTCCTAATTCTTTTGGATGGATTATTCTATCAAATTCTTCATCTATTAGTTCTATGTGAACTTGATTTTGAAATGGTTCATTTTGTTCTTCTTCAGGATTGGTTTCTTCTTCAAAATCATTCTGTCTTTGTACTTGATTATAGTCTAAAAATCTTAAGCTAGTTTTTCCATGAATATCTTTATAAGTTAATGCTTCTTGTGGTGCTATAATCATCTCTTGATTTTTTAAGAATTTATCCATGTCCCATTCTAATCCTGCCAATTGTTCTGATGAGTATTCTTTAGGTTTTACCATATTAATTTCTTTACTACTCATTAAATTTACTACTTTGTCTATATAAATCTTATATTTTGTTTGAGAATTATTTGAACATCTTCCTAAAAATTCTATGCTAATTAATAAATTATCTTCACTTTCTACTTCTTCATATCCTTTTGTTTGGATTCCTATTTTAATTTTATCTGAAAAGTCTTTAATAGTTAATAAAAAATCCGGGTTACAATAAATTATTCCATTATTATTATTCATATCTACTTCTGTGCTAGCAATCATACTTTTATCTATATTATTAATTCTTTCATCATATATAGTAACTAAAATCTTACATCCTAAAGTTTTTCTCATTAGTCCTTTTATTCCTATAACTATTAATCCTAAATGCATAAATCTAAAATTTTTCTTTTTTAATTCTCTTTTAGAGTCTTCTGATATTAAATTTAATTTTCTTACCTGATTTCCTATGCACTGATACCAAATGGGGGGGTATGCTGTTTTAAATATGCTGGTTTAAATGGCTGTTTAAACTTTTAACTTTTAATAACTTTAATCATACTCAGTACTCTCCTTAGTTTTTTATAAATCTTTCTTAAGAATCATTTATAAATCCCCCCTTTTTTTTTTACATTTAAATTTTCACTACCTATGACATATAAACTTGAACCTGATTTCTTTTTATAAGGTTACCCGTGGTACTCCCTTATAAAATTCTTAGATTAATTTTTTCCCTTTCCCCAGCATCTCTAGAAAACATCAAAAGGCTCACTCCGACCAAAAGTTTTCATTCATCTGGATCACTCAGGATTAACCTAAAAACAGTATGACTTCTAGAAATCAAGTTATGCTTTTATTATATGCATAGGATGAAATGATAAACATAACAAATATTTACTTGAAAGATAAAAATATAAACAAAAGAGTAAAGCATAAATCAGGAATTTATAAATTCATCTTTTAAAAGATTTACAACTAAGGATTTCCCTTTCGGGAAGTCCCTAAAGTTCTAAAATAAACTTAAAAAATACAAGAATACCTTAAATATTCACAAGGATGATTCAGCTATACAATGTTTTTTGGATTGAGAATTTTTTTGGAGGAGAGGTTTCAAAGGGTTTTTTAGATAGCAGAGAGTATACAAGTTGTAAGCTTCTGCCTAAACCGAATGAAACTTATTCCTTAAATAGAAAAATTTTTGGGAGCAAAAAGTCTATACTACCCTTGAGAGAAGGGCACACATTTCACCGAGAAACTTCTGGCCAATTCAAGATTTAACAAGTGGAAAGAAAGTTCCTACTTTTACTAAAATTTTTAAAAGTTTACAGTTGGGAATCTTTCTTTTATCAAAAGTTTCACCAACTTTTTCTAAAAGTCTTAAAAATCTTTCCTACTTTTGAAAAATTTTATCTCTTTGTCGGAGAATCTTTTCTTTTTTCAATGAATTCATTACATCTTTCCCCAAAAGTCTTCAATCTTGATTTTTGGGTCTTCTCCTTTTTCTTCTTTTCTTCTGGCAAAATTTGTCTTTTCTGAATTATTGAAGATCTGATCATGTACTAAGATTATGGCGTGCCACTGATGAAAATGACATTCCACTGTCTGAATTATTGTATCCTTCTTCTTGTGGATCTTCTTCTTCATCTGAAAGTCTGGAATTACTGGCTTCATTTTTTTCTTTTTGTTCTGGACATTCTGCAATTTCTTTTTCTTCTCCATGATTCTTTTTTAAAATTGTCTCAAATGCTTGGTTCACTGCCTCTCTGATTTGTTCTTTCAGTCCTTCATCATTTTTCTTCTTCTTAATCTTTTTCTTTTTTTTAGAAGAAGTTCCTTCATCTTTTTTGGATTGTTTCTGGAATTCTTCAATTTTTTCAAAAATCTTTTCTAAGGAAACAGTGTCTGGATTAGGATCTTGTGCTTCTTGAATAAATAAAGGGTCTTGACTATCTTGGGCCACAATTTTTTCTTTTCCCTTACTGAGCTGATTTTCTTGGGCTTGTGAAAAATCTGAATTATTTGAAAAGTGTTCTAATGAAAAATGTTCTGGTGGACTATACTTCACTAAGTAATCAAATTTTCCACTGGGCTGTCCTAAAAGATCCCAAATCTCTTTATCTTTTTCTGTAGCAGATTTATCAGTCTACTGAGTCTGATTGTCTGATTTAGTAGAGGAATCAACAGTCCCCTGAGTCTGTTGGGCTTTTAGTAAGTCCACAACCTTTAACGGATTTGATAAGTCTTTACCAGCTACCGTTTGGGTTGGACTAGCTATGGACTTCTTGGGCTCCATAGTACCTGTTGGATATCGGATTTTTAAATCCAAAATCTCTTTTTCAAGTTGGGCTATTTTCTTTTGAAGTTGGGTTCTTTCTAATGAGAGATTCTGGTTGACTTCATTAATAACTTTGTAATTTCTCTGCATACACTCACAATGTTGGCAAAAAATATTCTGGTCTTTACTTGGAGAAAAGTCTAATGGAGGATCAGAATAGTTCTTTAAAGAAGGAGATAAATAAAAATTTATTCCTATATGCTGTCTTGCTGCATCTAATACTTCTTGGAAATTTGTAAAACCTTTATAAAGAGGATCTGGAAAATTTTTAATGCAGTCTAAAACTTCTATCCAAGAATGAAAAATTCCTGGATTTTTACCTTTAATAACAACATAGAATTTAAATCTTTGATTGTTCTGACTAAAGTGTTCTGATAATGCATTCATGCATGCAAGAAAATATTTCTGATCTTTTGGATTCTTATTATAAGAAATCCATAAATTATCTAAAATACATTTCTCTTCTCTAGATAAAGATATATGCGGTAAAATTTTGAAGGAAATATTCCTATTTGAGAAAATTATAAGTTCTAGGTTTCCAAACCTTATCCTGTATTGTAACATTGGTCTGTTCTGATTAAATGCAGTCTGAGGTAAAGAACTTGATGCAAATGAATTCCCTGGTGGAATTCCTGGCCTTAAGGGCCTTGGTGTTGTCATCTGTATAACAAAATTATGTTAAACAAGTTTAATAATTTCTATCTATTATTATTCTACTCAGTATATCTGCCGCTTTATTATCACGACCTTTAATATGCTCAAATTCTATATTAATTCCTGTATTTGAAATTCTATCTATAAAATTTAACCATCTTCTTCTACTACTTCTTTTTGAGTCTATTTTCATTTTATTAACAAATGAGACTATAGCTACACAGTCCGTTCTTATAGTAATTTCTTATATATATATATATCTGCCTTTCCACAATCTTCTCCAGGAGCTGTTGCAATCTCCTTGACATTCCATTGCTTGCTTCGGACACGATCAGTGTATACAAATTATTTTTTCCCTCAATACTTGCAATTACGTAAAATATCTTTACAGAAGCGGGACAAAGCGTTCTCCAACGCTGATCAATAACCAAAAGTAGACCTAGAAAGATGCATTTTTAAGCTTTCTACTCGTGAAAGAAGTCTACAAAAGAATCAAAGGTGAAATGGATCTGAGAACCATTAGAATATTAGTCTTAGAGAAGTCTCTTTCATTGCCAAATTGACTTCTCCACCCTTCAAAATGTCGTACACTCAACAAGATGCAGCAACGGAGGCATGAAAGGGCACTGTCAAAACATTAAAATCTGCTTGTTTTTGCTGCATCTTCACTTGCAGCAAGGTAACAGATTTAAAGTTAAAAAAACCTGCTAAACGTTAAAAAGAGACAGTCATAGTAAAATCTGTCTGTCATATTCATATGCACCATGACAACTCATGCTGCTAATTTATTCTTCTCTCACAGGAAGGCCAAGTTGAAGGATCTGCAGTGTCAAGAGTTGCAGAAAAGATTAGAAAGTTCAGTTTTACATTCTAATCCGTAGAAAATCATTAGATGAAATGGAAGACAGAATTGGTCCAAATGGCATCAAGAGCGATTGGTGAAGGGGCTGTGGGAAAGATAGAGGTTTTTAATGATTTCTAATTTGTTTCAGTAGACTTGACTCCATGCACACACGTCTGCCATGTCTCCTGACACTTTATTCATTAAAAAATTGTCCAGGCACCTCGTGACCACTGGATGAAGTCCACCAAGGTCAATAACATTGAAAGAGCTTAGTCCATTACTGCATGACTACCAGAGATTGCTTACTTGCCTCCACATATGAGAATAAACTCTTTGGCTTGTCTTTTTCTTTATATAAAAGTGAATATCAAGTTTCCAGGATAATTTTGTAAAGTGATTCCACTCTTGAGGTTCAAAAGTTGAATAATCTCCATGCTACTGTAGTTTGGAGATGATGTTGATACTTCAAATCTGACTTTGAAAGTCAAAATGGAGAAGAATGGATCTCATTTATTTCATCTTCTGTAGTAGGAGTTGATAGCCTCAAATCACATGTTACAATCAATCTATCTTCAGGAAAGGGAAAAAAAAAAAAACAAAAACAAAAACAAAGCACCTCTGAACTTAATATATATTTTTGGTTCTCCTTTCAATAATTAGATAAAATAATAATTTTCTTTGAATAAATATTTGGTAGTTTTTGATCGTTGCAGAGGAAAAGCTGAGGAAAAGCTGGATCCAATTTACAGTGTGTGATTTCTGGTTTTTGTGGAAACGAAACTTTTCGATTCCATCATGTTAGAAATGCTTCACAGGTAGGAGATGTTTAGTTTCATTGAGCTTCTTATTAATCTGTTTCTGGTTGATTTTAGTCGGGTTTAAATTAAAATCCTGTGTGTCATATCTAACTTCTTCAATTTGTGCATAATGTCAAAATTCTTGAAACCCCCTTCTGTGCTGGTGTCATCTGCCTTTCCTGTGCAACATTGGCTTTACAATTTGCCTTTTTAAACATTTCGTTAAATTTAACATTCTACTTTTTTTGATGATGGTTGAAAAGATCTGTCGGATTGAGAGTGTGTACAAGAGAAAGGGCTCAATAGTTTCTTGATTATTCTGTTTTATGACACTCTGATTATCGCATTCTAATACAATTTTTTAATTTTAATTTTCTAGTTGCGGACATATTGCTTCCATTACCTGTAAGAACGAACTGAAAATACCATGCAATTTTTTTCCCGAAGTTTTTTTATATTCCCTACACGATGCATTTATATGGTCTTCTCTTTCCCCGATCAGCTTTGGAGATAAAGTTTGATTCGAGCCCGTTCATGGATAAATTGTTGCAATTTGCGTGGAAATCTTCAGAGTTCTTGTACTAATAAAAGATGTGTTTTAAGTTTGATACGCTATATCTATATTATGCAGTGTTGTCCATGTCTTGAATGTATAGCACGTAGTACTACGCAAAAAATAAATAGATAAACCAAGACATTAGGGAAAAAATAAAAATAGTGTATTGCATTGATATATGGTAAGATTGCAAGATACAATAAGAATTTACACAAGATTACATTGATAGGAACTCAATAGTTTAATGTATATTAGGTGTTTGGATTTACAATCTTGGCTAGTTCTTCCAGTTTCCTCATTCTGAATTTCTCACTTTCATTCACCAACTGGAAATGACAATAGAAAATTGATTTTATAATTAGAAAAGAGTAGTAAATATATTTAAAAATCTGAATTCAATAAGTGAGGTTAATTTTACCTGCATGAGGGTCGTGGTCAGCTGAGTTTTTTCATTGTTCTTTTCATGGAGAGCTTCCAGGGCTTCTTTATACTCTCTCTCCTGTCAAGACATTCTTGAAATTTTTAAGTGGCATCAATCTTGAAGAAATTTATTTAGACATCTGGTTTGGCTGAAAATCTAAAATTAGATTTTCAGTGGATTTTGATTAAAATTGATAAAGTAAGTGGTTGAAAAGTTGTAATTCAAAATAAGTTCAGAAAAAATGAATTTTAAAAAATTGGGGCCAAGCATATGCTTATTTATATATATCATGGATTAATGCTAATAAAAGTTGTCATTCCTATTGTATTTTATCTCATATTCCCAAATATTAACAAGGAGTTTTGGGAAAAAGAAGTCTTTACTTTCTTTTGGCAGGTCTGTCCAAGTGATTTTAGGTCACGGTTAGCCATGTCTATTCTTTTACGTACACTGGCAACTTCTTTTCTCATGGGATCCGTTAACACTTCCAGTTCCTGCATCATAGAATATTTTACAACACTAGTCGATCTTAAAATAGCAGAAAAATGATGTTATAAACTGGGTTTTTACTGTTGATGAAATCCAACTTGAGAACAAAAATAAGGTTGAGACAACAATCATCGACAAGGTATCACCAAACGAGGTCGAGATGAGTCATTTGCAACTTGTGGTTCTTCAAATCTCCCGTAATTAGGACCTTCGAAGCTTGACTAACAAACGACAAAGTCAATTGTTTTTCTCCCACCGTGTGAATATTGACAATAATGGCGTATTTGACGAAGTTTGCTAATAGTATTAATGAAGAAAAAGTAATCTATTCTATGGTCCATCTCTATTGTATATGGAAATAATTCGTTGGACCTACTTCCCAAATTTGTGCCAAACGCTTGGTTTCTTCTTCAGCGCGAGTGAGTTGAGATTCGACCTTCATTCTCATCTCCATTTTCTTCCTCTCGATCTCTTCTTCTCTTGCTTGAAACGATGCTATAGCCAACTTGGAGACCTCGTCATGATCATCATTAATATTATTGTCATCTGTGGATGATCTCCCGCTGCTTCCAATACTTGCGAGACTCTTCATTAATTAACTTCTTCTTTGATGTTTAAATGGAAATGCTTGATTTCTATCCCATATATACATCTTTTTGCATCTGGTATTTGCTTTTGCTTTAATACTTGCTCTCTCTCTACCCCTTTCTTTCTTTTGAAGCCATAAATTTTGGAAAAAAAGCAACATATACTTGTCGATTCTTAAAATATCTTCCCATTTTTAGTCATAATAAACTTCAGCATATTAACAAAAGTGTATTCTTGATAAACTTAAAAGTCGACTATATGAATACTCTTTTGACACAACACGGGTGTTGAGAGAATTCGAGTAATTCAATTTGGTTCTCTAAGAAAAATCTTATTGCAATCTCATTTTTCATGCTAGGTGAACATTGCAACCAGATTTTAATTGGACATTAAAGAATATAGTGTTATATGCTCAATTTAAATTGAATACTAAGTACGTTAATCCTTGCTTGAAATTTGGGGAAGTTTGTTAACTGGTTACTCACAGAATCACATGTGAGCATATAAAGAGGACTTTGTTCCTTTCCTGAAAAGTCACGCAGGGTGCAAGTAATGCAGGCTGCTTTAGTTTTTATGGTTGTGCAATTAATGCTTGTCGATTTCTATTCATAGGGTTGATTAGGGTTCTAGAACCAATTCTTCTCAAAAAATCTTTAATGCAATAAGAATTTTGCTACTTATATAGAGCGAATCACTATGTACAAGTGTCAGCACTACATTTTTTGGACAGTGCCCAATGACAGTACATCCTGTCAAGTTGTATGTACAATTTTTCTGTAAATACAGCAAAGTTCATGCAATCATGTGAATTATTTTTTATGTGACGAGCAAAAGAGGACTATCGTTCGTCTTTTTTCTTGTCATATAAGCAGTTTGAGATGACGTGACACTTTTTGGTGCAATTCACTAGCCTATTAGACATGCTCTTAAGTATTGACTAATAAACTATTTTCCTATAAATATTTTAATTTCTAAAAATTGTGTTTTGTAAGATAGGTTTTATAATGACATTTAGAAAATTAATTGTAAGATTAACCTTGTATCAGCTCTAAAGGCAACTTAGTAAAAGAGCCAATTGTGTATTTCCTTTATTAGTTGAGAGTAGGTGGTAGCTAGCCAAGTTTTGTTTTGTATTGTATTGATCTCGAGCACGGGATTTTGGAGTTAGCTAAACTTTACATGGTGATATGTGTTTGTAAAGAGCATAATTACTTTGGTATTTGATCAATATTAAACCGTTGGAGTGTTTCCTAAAATTTATTTTCAAAATGGCTTCAAGTAAAATAGATTTTTTAAGTCATCGTTCACAAGAGTGGCAATCCTAAAAAGACATTTATTTTATTTTATTATTATTTTATTTTTTTAGTTATAGGCTAAAATCTTGAATTAAATATAACTAATTAAATGTAACTTTAGGGAAAAACTGATTAATAATTGTATTCAATTGCATACATATTATTATTATCCTGGTAACAAAAAGAAAACTAGCAACAATGACAACAAGAAGAACGATAACTCGAAATCCATAGTTGTAAACAAAGTAGAAATGATCATACAAGTACACCTCTTCGAAAAGAAGACGATCAAATTTGCAAATTGAACAATGAATACTGTAGAAATGTTAGATTATTCGTGTCTAGAAGTTTATTTTTCAGACATAAATTCAGTCAAATAATTTAATGACGCTTAAATATAGAATTTGAAATAAATGATTAGTAACCAGGAAATGAAGTTTTAGCAAATCAAAATCAGGCCTTCTGGTTGCTATATACTAGTTTACGTTTAGTTTTGCTGACACGTTCTTCAAGAAATAAATCTGATGATTTTTCTTGATCATTGAAAAGAAAATCAGATTTTGGTAAATATTTGTTGTTTTTCAGGTTATTTTTTGTGCCATTTTCTTCAAGATATTGATCTGAATTTTCTTCATTTTGAAAAAAACCATCAAATTTTGGCATAAATTTAGTGTTCTTGAGATTACTTTCAGTGCCATAAGCCCGAAATATTTGGTCCTGAATCATCTCTTGAGACAGTCCCCATGCATGGAGTTCTTCCAATTTGTGGTGCATAGCCAGACTGTATTCTCCATTGCAACCTAATTGCAGAATACCATGATGCTATATTTTTTTCTGTAAAATATTTTTTCAATAAAACCACTCTAACTGACATAGTTTTATTAATAAAAAACTTAAAACATAATTACAATGAAAAATAAACACGAGTTAATAACAAAACTAAAACACAACACACAAAAAATAAATATAGTAAGCTTACTCTCGTCTCTAGATATTATATTTTTTAGCAACTAAATGTGGCATATTTAACTAATAATATTTCCAACAATGTTCTTTATTGAATATCATCTTCAAGAATGGAATGGCGGAAGGAGGGGTGTCAATTAGTTCGTCGGCTCAAGCCGCTCGTGACTCGATCTAAAAAAGTTCTAGTTGGCCCGACTCAAGGCCAGGCCGAGCTCCATTTGGAGTGTCAGTCCAACCTCGAGCCAGCCCATGTGGCTTGACAAGTCACACAGGCTGACTCGTGTCACGGGCCATTTTCTACAAGTGACGAGTGACCCTTTTAAAAAATAGAAAAAAATGAAGTTGCAGCAGGCAACTCTACAATTGCTTGCAAAAAGCAGCAACATATTTTATAAAAGAAAAGGTGAGCCTGATCAGCTCGAACCTCATCGAGTCGAGCCTAGAATTTTTGGTAGAGCAAAATCTCGACTTGACTAGAGCCAAAAAAGGCTTGTGCTTTATTGGGTAAAGCTTAAATTTTTTGATTGAGCAAAAGTTCAGCTCGGACAAAAAAAAAGTTCGGACAATTTTTACTCGAGCTGAGCCTGAACTTCAAGTTTCGACTCTATTCGTTGACATCCTTAAGTGGAAGAGCTCGCGATGCTTTATGGGGAGAAAGTTGGTCGTTAAATTACAAGGGTTTGGCTCATCTTGTTAGATTCATTGTTTTGACCGTCTTATATGCGATCGTATTAAAGAAGGTTGCATGTTTCATCTTCGGAATATGGACTCTGCCAATTGCATAGGGCCACATGGGCCTTGTACTAGTACTGTATGACCAGCTTAAGTGGAAATTACACAATAACCTACCTTAAAAATCTTGTATTTTAAAATCAGATGGGTAGTTTAATCTTTCAAAAATCAGAAAATTTTATATTTAAATATTAAATATTATTTATACATATTTCATTTCAAAATCCCAATCCATTTCTCCTCTCTCCTCCTCTCTTCACAGCCTCTCTACTCGATCTCTGGCGCCGCACCATCTTCTCTCTCCGGCAGCTCCGGATCTAGCCAAACGACACCTTGTAGCAGCAGCAGCATCACTGTACATGATCGTTAACGGTGACAATTGCATGCAGAACCACCGGAGTCCATCTCTTTTCACTCAACTTCTCTGTTGGTGTCATCTCCCGGGTGCTATCAACTCTCCGTGACGGTAGTGCGCCTATCACCCACACTACAGCCACGATTTTATGGTGGTGGTAGTGTGGCGGCGACAGTGACACTGAGATTGGGGATTTTTTTGTTGATTTGGTGTGGCGTGGAGATGGAAATGGTGATGGTGATTCTTGGTACAGGCGGTGATCGTGGTACTAATCGTGATGTTGGTGAGAATGTGTTAACCTTTGACGGCGCGGCTCGAGGCTCACAAGTTACACTACTGCACTACCGTGGTCAAGATCTGTTGTGGATTGTGGCCAGAATCTACAGCTCCGCAATCTAGTGGGGTTTTGGGTTTGCTTTTAGTTGATGGATGGGGTAATGGTGGTGGTGGTGGTGGTGGTATTTGGGTGGCGGCAACTTTGTTGGATCCAACATGTCGGAGGTTACGTTGGATATGGTGATGATTGTGGTTTTGTTGGTGGTGGTGGATATTGTGGGTGGTGAGATGGTGGCGATGGTTATGTTTATATGTGGGCGACGACGGGTTTATTGAGGTGGTGGTGGATATGGTACGATTATGTGTTAATTTTAGGTAGTGATATTGCCGTCAGGAGATGGCGGTGGTGGTAGTTATTGCGACTATGGTGGCGGTGGTGCCACTGCAAGTGGCTATGTGGTGGTTACAAGTGTTGTGCGGGTGTTTGTGACCAATTTATTGGTTGAATGTGACCAGTAATTGGTTAATTTGTGACAAATAAATAATATATGACCTAAAAATTGTGTTTGTGATTCATAATTTATTAAGTTGTGATCGAAAAATTAATCGTCACCAATTAATCTAATAATTTACAATGAATAAATGAGTTGTGACCAATAAAAGTTTTGATTCTATGAGCAATGAATAATCTGTGACTTATAAAATTTTTGATTTGTGATCGAAAAACAATATGTGACCTATAAAATTTTTTATTTATGATCGAGAAATAAGTTGTGAACAATAATTTGATAAATTGTGATTAAAAATTAATCCGTAACTAACTAATTTTTTATTTGTGACCGATGAACAAACTGTGACCTACAAAAAATTTTATTCGTGACTGAAAAATAATATGTGACCTATAAAATTTTTTATTTGTGACCGAGAAATAAGTTATGATCAATAATTTGATAAGTTGTGACTAAAAACTAATTCATGACTAATTAATTTTTTATTTGTGACCAATGAACGAACTATGACTTACAAAATTTTTGAATTGTGATAGTAAAATAACTAGTGACATAAAATTTCTAATTTGCAACCAAAAAATAATAAGTGATTAATTAAATTATTAATTTGTGATCAAATTGTATAAATATGTGACCTAAATATATTTAATTAATAAATAAATAAATTAAATAATATATATTCTAATAAAATTTTGATTTTTGAAGTTTGAAATTTATTTTCTTAATTTTGAAATATACCATACTTAATCTTTTACTTATGAATTTTTCCCCCAGCTTTATTCTCCGATTGTAGAACTCTCGATTCTCAATTAGGATGAAATAAATTGATGAATTTTGCTAAGTGTGCATTCTTTGGCGTAAAACTTTGTGTACATTCCATTATATTTCAAAGTATTGAACGGAAAAGTATTGTTTTAAAAAAATTGTCCAATCTTGTATCGTCACGTAGCATGATGTCAAAAATAATTTACGTGTAGCATGGGTGTTAATTGATTGCGCTTCAGTCGACATATTTTAGTGGGACCATGCTTCACCAACACAGAACCCTACCGACCTTTGACAGAACCCCACCAATAGGTGGGGGAGGACCCATTTTTTGATGCAGGACCCACCCTTTTGGTGGGATTCTGTCAGGCGGTCGATCAGACCCCCGTTGGAAAAACATTTTCCTAAATTAGTGACTTTGTAATTGCGATTTTCAATCAGAAAATTCATTATCGTTGATTGAATAATGAATAGTTGTGTAACGTGGCATGTGCAAGGCAACGTGGTAGGCTGCTGCAAAGCCACGCAAGAGTGAAGAGACGACACGTGTTCAAAGAGGAAAAACTGTAGTTTTGTTTCTTCATATTTTAATACATAAACTAATTTTAAAGCTTTGTTTATTTGTCTTTGAGAAGAGTGCCTGCACACGGTTCGAGCACTGGGATTTTACAAATGCAATATTGGAGATTTGGATAACAGCCCCATAAATTTTGTTCAGTTTGATAATTTAAATTAATTATTTAAGAAAAAAAGTTTTTAAATATTGAAAAATGATTTATTAGGTACGTTTGCTTAACAAACTAAGCAAATAGTAATACACTTATTAATTAATTGATGGATGAATTTATATTCATTTTAAGGAATTGTGTTACATTTATCGTAATTTATCTATCTATATTCATAGCACGATGAACATGGAAACATTCACTAAAGGTGATATTGAAAAATGATTTATTAGGTACGTTTGCTTAACAAACTAAGCAAATAGTAATACACTTATTAATTAATTGATGGATGAATTTATATTCATTTTAAGGAATTGTGTTACATTTATCGTAATTTATCTATCTATGTTCATAGCACGATGAACATGGAAACATTCACTAAAGGTGATATTGAAATCTTATTTCCAAAATATATATATATATGTCAAGTAAAAATCTAATTTTAATTCCCTTCTAAACTGGGAAGCTCCAATGAGATTAATTAATTTATGGATTAACTTCACATATACTTTATTTTCATTCAAAAAAATTAAAATATCTCCTTATATGTTTTTTCAAAAATGCCTCTTTTTATTAAAGACAATATTTTCTTTCATGATTTTTTAAAATATATCTCCTTTTCATTTAAATAAATATTTCCAACTTTCATTAAAAAAAAAAAGAACATTTTCATGAAATATGTCTTCGTAAGATAACATCTGTGTTACTGTTTATTTTTAATGTAGTGACGGTACAATATTTTACCTTTTTTTAAAAAAATAAAATAAAATAACACTTAAGAGTTGCATAAAAGTACTTTATGTTAACGCCTTTTCAAAAATTATATCTCAAAAAAATTTCAATAAAATGCTAATATAAATTAATATATTTTAGATAAAGTAATATTTTACCGACTTATTTATTTAAAAGTAAATTGCGTGGGTGACAAAACATGCACCACGTAATCAATTTGTCGAATCTGCTCGATTTTCCAATAGAAAAAGAAAACTTATGACGACCGGTGGAAAGAAGACGCCATCCTGTTCGTTTCGTTAGAGTAAGAAAACGTAGGTTCGGATGACAAATGGTACTTAACCTTTAAACTGTAAACTGATCAAGTTATTTGTTAAAACTATTTGAAACCAGCTGGAGTCTTCTTCTTGCTTCGCACAGGTTCTCCTCTGTTATAAATAGTTAAATAATGCAGTCTCAAGCACTCAGATTCTTACACTCGTATCCAGTTAGAACTCAAGAGAGAAATAAATAATTTGTTTAAACTTTGTGAAACCAGCTGGAGTGTTCTACTCTGCTTCCTGAACTTTGCTATGCAAACAAGGTTGGGAATAGATAGAGTTGTACAAAAAAAAAATTTACGAAATCGTAAATCGAATCGAAATCGTTAATTTGAAACCGTTGGTTCGGACCCACGTGAACCTGCAATTTTTTTCTCTCAAACCAAATCATATCATTTCAAAATATTTGGTTTATGTTTCAATTTTCAAAAACCGCACAAAATCTAACCGAACCGTTTTTTAAATTTTTAATTAAAACATTAATTTTATTAATTTATAAATTTTACAATTTTCACTTTTGAGAAAAAAATATCAATTTAACAATACAAATTACAACCAGCTCATTGAAATAATCATAAAAAGTAAATTAGGTTCATCATTATTGATACATGATTTAAAAAGTTCACAATACATGTTCTTACACGATATGTAAACTAAACTAAAATTATTCCTAAATCATATTAAATGAAAAATCTATATATATTTTTGGCAATCCAAATCATAGCTCAACAAAATTACGGCAGCAAATCATGTCCAAAGTTTCAAAAGTACTAATATAAATTCTCATTTTCCAAACATTTGACGATTGTTTGTCACTACTAAATGAATCGCTTATCGCCTTTTGCTTGTTAGTCTGTTAAATTCTATCTAAATTGTCTCTTTCTTTCTCGATAAGGCTCAGATTTTCATTCAAGCCATTTTTTCATTGTTCTTTTTTTTATTTGTTGTTTTTGAACTTATTATACACTTGTGAGTCGTAATTTGAATAGAAAAATGAATATTTGTGTGTTTAAATGATTAATAAACTTGTTTGTTATTTGAAAAGAAAGAATGATAGAACGTATTGATTGTGTGAAATGATAAAGTTCCCTAACCATTGTTACTACATTCTACGCACTTTTATAAAGTAGTTAGAGAATGAAATTCGTCAATCTCCAATAAGCATAAATTCTATCAATCTTTGTACTTTTAAACGTATCCCGTTTAATTCTTATTTAGCATCTCACTTGTAAGACAAAATGGATTTTAACTAAACTATAATAGAATTCAACTTTACTTTTATCAACAGTTATATGACAATATGAAAGTTAAACAAGAAAATAAAAATAAAAATAAAGAAAAATGTATTTATTCCATTAACATATTTTAGCAACCAAATTTAAAAATAATTTATTCATAGGTTTCATAGTAAATATGAATGTAATTTAACATTTAACAATATTAGTTCTTGTTTAAACTTACATGTTAACTTGTTTTAAATATATTACCATGTAAACTGTGGATTAAATTCGAGCCAAATCGTAAATTATGATTTGGTTTGGTTTGTAAAATAAAATGGTATAATTTGATTTGGTTTGAAAAAATTTCAATTTGTATAAAATGGTTTGAGATAAAATATGGCACAAATCGTCTAAATCGAATCTCATTAACCCCTAAGGAAAAAATATGGTACAAACCGCCTAAAAATAGAGGACACGTGTCATTGATTGACCAATTAAGGGAAGGAAAAAAAAAATGAAAAGATAGCCAGATAGGTGCTGCCCTGCCACCAAACCCTGTTTTTCTCCCTGATTGAGTAGCTTTTAATCCTTCTTCTTGCTTCGCACAGAGTCTCCTGTCTGTTATAACTTATAAATAATAAATTATTTGTTCGAACTTTTTGAAACCAGCCGGAGTCTTCTTCTTGCTTCCCACAGGTTCTCCTGTTTGTTATAAATACTGCACCACTCACATTCTTACACTCGTATCCATTTAGTACTCTCAGAGAGAAATCATGGAAGCCAGAAGAAACACAATTAACGTACTAATGTTGCCATGGCTAGCCCATGGACACATTTCTCCATTTCTAGAATTAGCCAAAAGACTTGTATACAGAAATTTCCATATCCATTTGTGTTCGACTGCTGTAAATCTCACTTCAATCAAGAAAAAAATCCCAGAAAAATTCACTGACTCAATCCAACTCGTTGAGCTAACTCTTCCTTCTTCCCCTGAACTACCTCCACCTTACCATACTACGAATGGCCTACCACCCCACCTCATGACAACCCTCAAAGAAGCCTTTGAGGAATCAAGCCCTAATTTATCTAACATTCTCGATACTGTAAAACCCCAGATCGTTATGTACGACTATAATCAGCCGTGGGTGGCGGAACTGGCTTCTTCCCGTGGAATCTCGGCGGTGCAGTTTCTAACAGTTGGTGCAACAATCGCTTGTTATAATCTTTTCATGGATCAAAAACCAGATGAAGCATTTCCGTTTCCAGAGATTTATCTAAGGCAGTTCGAGAGAATTAAGATTCAAGAATTATGCGAGTCACAAGTGGGCAATGTTAAAGAGAGTGATCGGGCTTTCGCTGCTCTGACAAAATCAAAGAAAATCGTTCTTATCAAAACTTCTCGAGAGATCGAGGGAAAATATATAGATTTTATGTCAATTTTATGTAACAAAAAGATTGTCCCTGTAGGCACACTTGTTCAAGATCCTGTGATTGAAGACGAAAATAAGGAGATAATGGAATGGCTTGACAAGAAGGAGAAGAATTCAGTTGTCTTTGTTTCGTTTGGCAGTGAATATTTTCTGTCCAAGGAAGAGAGACTTGAAGTCGCAAAGGCACTTGAGCTTAGCCAGGTTAACTTCGTGTGGGTTATCAGGTACGTAAAACCTTCTAAAAGTTGCAAAATACTTTTCGTCAAACCTACTCTAAATGGAAAATTTGCAACTGTAGTCCTTGAACTTACTACCCGACAGCATGTTGATCTTCAAACTTCTATTATAGTTGCAAGGTTGAGACGAAAATTATAAGAATAATGCTGTGGGTATCGGACGGGTTTCCTCCGGAACATACAACGAGAGGGCGAGGATGGGGGGTTAAATTTTTTATGAGGTGGCCCACCTGTTGTGTGTGAGGGGCTCCGTGAAATTTCTCCTGGACATAAATCACAGTGTAAACCTCGTATCAGATACCTGTTTATAGTCAATACCAAAACTTTAATATGGTTTGATATGCAAGGATCACGTCACAATTTAACAAAGACGTGAATGATTTATGCTACTGAAATTGATCGTGCAGTTATTTTATATTACTAACTTGCTCATTTGAAGACTTAGGTATCGACGTGTTAATAAGGCAATAAGTTAGGGACAAATGGTGTAATTTTCTTATTGAAACGATACATGTATGGCAAATAAATTATGGTCGCGCGTAAAATAAATTTACAATTTTTACAAAAGAATAGTGACAAAGTATAAACTCTGAATTTCTGTTTATTTTTACGATTTATTGAATCTTGCTAATGAAAATAATATAAGGTTTATTACTTCGATGTAGGTTTCCTCTGATGGAAAATATAAAGATCGAAGAGGCACTGCCACAAGGATTTCTTGAAAAGGTAGGAGATCGAGGTCTCGTCGTGGAAGGTTGGGCGCCACAAGCCAAAATTTTAGGCCACCCGAGCATTGGTGGCTTCGTCAGTCACTGCGGATGGAGTTCTACACTGGAAAGCATGAAATTTGGTGTCCCAATAATCGCCATGCCTATGCAAATTGACCAACCATTTAATGCAAGAGTTGTGGAAGCCATTGGAGTAGGAGTGGAAGCTTTTAGGGATGAGAATGGGAAACTTCAAGATGAAGAGATTGCAAAAGCGATAAGGAAAATTATTTTGGATAAAAGTAGAGAGGAAATAAGAAAGAGATCAAAACGAGTGAGTGAAGACTTGGATAGGAGAGGAGAGGAAGAGATTAATGGAGTGGTGGAAGAGCTTGTGGCACTTTGTGTGGAGAAAATTGGTCAGTTCGATATGATCAAGTAGATTCTAGTCCTTTTTATTCGATATACTGTAAGGACTAGCCTATGGTTTTTACTGGAATACTTGTGATCCGTTTTTATGTAGAAATTTTGAGAATTGTGATGTGTGAGAGTGGCGGTGGGGCCTATATTTGGTGTAGGTGAGATTTTTCATTAGAAAATTCACCATTGTTCTTTTTATTTTTTCAAGTTTACAAAATTTAAGATTTTATCATTGTAACATTATTGGTTGTTACTCTTTTTGGGTTTCATTCTCTTTTACTAAAAGTCATTTTTGAATGTCAAAAATCATTTTTAACTTCACATTTTATACAAGGGTAATTAGTACAAAACATCCCTACCTTTCGATGTTTTTGTGGAAAACGTCCCTACCTTTCATTTTTTGACGGATTATACCCTTACTTTTACCTTTTTTTTGCGCAAAACGTCCTTCTGTCAACTCTCCGTTAAAATGCTCCGTTAAATCAAAAAGGTAATTAGCACAAAAGGTCCATACCTTTCAAAGTTATTGTGCAAAACGTCCCTACCTTTTATTTTTTAGCATAATTAGCAGAAAAGGTCCCTACCTTTCAATATTATTGTGCAAAACGTCCCTCCCTTTCATTTTTAACATTTTTACCGCTACATTTCACCTTTCATTGCGCAAAAGGTCATTTTCATCCATTTTTTCAATAAAATGACGATTTTACCCTCCTATTGAAATAAAACAAAAAGAAAAGAAAAAAATAATTAATTAATTGCAATCATAGTTCTAAATCTTTCAAAACATTACAGATAAATCCTAAATTCTCCACTACCGCCACTTTCACAACCCCACCAAGCCACCACCTATAGATCCATATAGCACCACTTTTCGACCACAACACCTATCGAACTCCACCACCACCAGTGTCGCCTCACTCTCCCCAATATCCTCCTCCATAGTATTGGTCACCAATCTGTCCGAAACAACTACATTTACGGTGGTGGAGTCCGGTGGGCATGGTGGTCCAAAGGTGGTATTATGTGGATTTATAGTTGGCAGCTTGATAGGTTGTGAAAATGGTGGTGGTTGAGAATTTATGATTTATCTGTAATGTTTTGAAAGATTTAGAACTATGATTGCAATTAATTAATTATTTTTTTCTTTTCTTTTTGTTTTATTTCAATAGGAGGGTAAAATCGTCATTTTATTGAAAAAAATGGATGAAAATGACCTTTTGCGCAATGAAAGGTGAAATGTAGGGGTAAAAATGCTAAAAATGAAAGGTATGGACGTTTTGCACAATAATATTGAAAGGTAGGGACCTTTTCTGCTAATTATGCTAAAAATAAAAGGTAGGGACGTTTTGCACAATAACTTTGAAAGATAGGGACCTTTTGTGCTAATTACCTTTTTGATTTAACGGAGCATTTTAACGGAGAGTTGACAGAAGGATGTTTTTCGCAAAAAAAGGTAAAGGTAAGGGTGTAATCCGTCAAAAAATGAAAGGTATGGACGTTTTCCACAAAAACATCGAAAAATAGGGATATTTTGTGCTAATTACCCTTTTATACAATGCACAAGTATTTCTGACTTTTTTCACAGCTTATTTAAAAAATTAAAATTTTAGCAAAAATTAATACAATACAAATAGCGATTATATTGTATAGCATTTCCATTGCATTCCATTGACTGCTATTTATATGATTTTAAAATATAATTTTTATATTGATGACTAATTTAAAAATAGGCAGCTCTAAAATCGATCTCTTATTATTTTTGTATATCAATATTTTTGCCCATTAGTAAAAATACAAAATAGCATGTAAGAAAAATAAAATTTAGCATTTGTTTAATGGGGATTAGAACCAGATTTTTGATAAATTTTAATAAATATTAATGAATCATGTAGTTAAAAAGTTGTGATATCGTGAAATGTGTTTCAAATTAATTTTTAACTTTGATTTAAATTAAAATCAAGATTTTAATTCGTATCAGATACGGGTATAATATTCTAAAAACAAAAATAGTATAACAAAGTATCAAGATCATATCAACTGGACATAGGTTTTGTATATGTATATATAATCTTATCTATTTTACTTTGGGACAATCTTTTAAGTAATTCACGATTGCATTATCAAGATCATATCAACTTGACATAGGTTTTATCAACTTGTATTAGAATTTTTATTTATTTATTATTATTATTATTTAATCTTGTCTATTTTACTTTGGGACAAATTTTAAGTAATTCACAATTGCATTATGTTGTAATCCATGAGGTAAATATTTTGAATATCTTTCTATTGCTTTCTCTTACATTGGCCATTCTATAGAAAAAGGAAAATGATGTTTGTACAACACACATACAGTCCTCTCACAAACGTGGGGGGTCCGCAGTTATTTTAATCGTGGGGTCCCTATATGTAAGAGGAATGTCAGCCAGGCTGTCAAATATATTGTACCTGTAGCACGGTCATACAAAAATGTGTACAGAAAAAAATCAAGTCAATAGATCAACAAAAAGTCAATTTCACGAATAATGAGTTAAGCTTTTCGTAAGGGCGAAACCAGAAAATAATATTAGGATGAGCTAAAATTTAAATTTTTTTAAATGTACTCGCACCACAAGAAGCTAAACTCATGACATTCACGACAAAGAGTTACAACGCTTAATGAAATAAAAGAAGTCTAGATCTCACATTCTAAGATGTCCTACTAGATCTTTTTATTTTGTCTTACCAAATAGAAAATCAAAGCTCGCCGTAAAAAAATAAACTGATTGAATCGTGATCGAAATAAGTGAAGAATACATATCCACCATTGAGAAATTAAGAAATTATTTAATGAATATTGTTCTAAATAACTTTAACGATCGATCTCTTCAAACAATTGAAAGCTTTGACCTAAATACGCAATCAATAATACATCCGTATATGTTATTATCTCAAAAATACTATTTTGGTGTGAACAAAATCTTCCATTTAATTTCATTTCACAGTGGATGAGAAATCACATCCAAAGTGAGAAAAATCAACTAAAAGGGTCCAAAGAAATTAATTTAATTCATGTCCATGTGCTCGGTTCAAGAATATACTGATATATAAATTAATATATAAATATTCTATTTCTAACAAAATATTATTTTTACTGACAAAATCAAATTTAGAGCAAATTATTTATTTTGATCATAATATCTATTTCATGATCAAAATAAGTAATTTCTCTTCTAATTATGAATAAGTAACATATGAAAACATATGTAGAAATAAAAAAATTAATTACTTTTAGACTTAGAAAAACATGTAGCCCCTGTTAGATGGGGATTAAAATTAAAATTTTAATAAATTTTGATGAAAGTTGATTAAAAATGTAGTTAAAAAGTTGTCAGATCCATAAAATATAAGGTTAAAATTAATCATTGACCTTCACTTAAAGTAAAATCAAATTTTAAGACTACCAACAAGGGAGTAGTGTCACTAATTATTAAAATAATCAATTTTTAGATTTGATCACTACAAATTATCTATTATAAAATTTACTTTAATTATTTTAAGTAAATTTAGTCAAACACGCATTAAATAAAATGCCTAATTTAAAAATAAAATGATGTAAAAAATAGTGTTTAATAATTGTAAAGTTGAACTTGAGTTAGAATTCAAATTAGAGCTAGGTTAACACAAATATTTGGATCAAAATTACAAAAATTATTCTTAATTTTCCATATGGGGTGGGGGTAGGTCTAAAATAAATAACTTACTTCAGAAATAAGATAAATTTATGGAATCAATTATTATTTTTGAATTAAATTTTCCAAAGATCAAGGCTTTTTTCGAAAAAGCCACTTTATTTGGGACCTTCCAGCCCTGGCTTTTTACGACATCAATTATCATATTTACATTAATTTGACTTTAACTAATTTATGATAAGGCGTGATTAGTGGGGAAGGTACATGGACCAAAGAAAGAAAAGTGAAGCTATTCATCTCAAGTGAAGTTGAGCCTCGATCTAGGTTATAATATTTTATTGATTCAATTAAATGAATCATGTTACTTTACATTTAAATAAATCAAGAGTTTAATTCGTACCAAATATGATTTTGAATTTTATAGGTTCAATTACTTTAAGAGCAATATTATGTAGCTTCATTGGAATTTGTAACATCAATCTAATTACACATTTCATTTAGTCTATAATAGCGTCATCTAGATTGAGGTTGCAATTTCAATGTGACTAAATAGCATTACTCATCATTTAAAGCCATATAATTGCTATCTAGACTGGGGTTCAAATTGGGTGAGAATAAATAGCATTATTCGTAAAAGAATAAAGGAAAAATTGTAAGATGTTATCTGTCCTAATGGACGATTTAAATAGTATGGTCATCGCTAATCTCATAAGTAACTTTAATAAGTGAGGCCCGCCACTCAATCTTACTTGCTAAGTTAATTTAATTAAAGGGATCACATTCAAGTCAATATTCCATGAAAAATTCCTCGTTTACAGAGGTCTGGTTCAAATAGCTCACAAACGCGTGGACTCCACCTGAATAAAAAATTGTCAAAAATTAACCACCCACCCGCCACTCAATCTTACTTGCTAAGTTAGTTTAATTAAAGGGAAACATGTCACATTCAAGTCAATATTCCATGAAAAATTCCTCGTGTACAGAGGTCTGGTTCAGATAGCTCACAAACGCGTGGACTCCACCTAAATAAAAAATTGTCAAAAATTAACCACCCACCCCCATGTGAGGTGTTGATAGGGGTTCACACCTGTACACCAAGCCACTGATTTTGGGTTTTGGTCGAACAATCTAAGTTCTTCGGCCGATTATCAATCACATAAGAGGAAAAAAATTAATAATATAAAAAAGATGTGTAGAGGCTAAAGCCCTATTTGGTTTTGTTGAAAAATAAATTCTAAGTTGTGTAGTTGACAAGTCGATAAATGTTATAAATATCATGTAATGTATAATTAAAATTAATTGTTAACTTTAATTTACATTTTGATCAACTATTTTAGCTAAACCAAATAGGAACTAAGTGTATTTTTATCGTATAGGCTATAATGTGAGTATTTCATAACAAAGAGAAATGAAGCAATTCGAGCTTCTGTATCAAAGTCATTACATCAACATATTGTCCACTTTGAGAGATTTGTCCATCTCATCCCTTACAAATTTCTATCGTGTCCTCCAAGATTTAAACTCAAAACATATGTTCTGTAAAAGATTTTAGTTGAATCCTGATAAGATAGAAGTCACAAGTTCAAATTCCGAAGGATGTAGTAGATATTAACTAGATATGATATAATGGTTTGTGAGAACCTTTGCCCATTTTATCCATAACCGATTTTTGTGATGTCATGTGAGATTCAATTGCAAAATATTTGCCTTATGAAAGACTTAAAGTTAAATCTTAACACCAATTGAAATTGCCGTAAACCATGGGTTGTTTATTTAATTTAATTTTTTATTCTTTGTAATTATTCTCTCGATTGTTGAGATATAATAGTTTAATCTTCAATATTAACAATGGCAATCAAGATTCCCGCTATACTACTTAATTGCATTAGAATTGAAATAATATATTTCGATTTCTTTATCGATTCAAAATTATTTTGTTTGTCCCAGTTCATAATTATTAATGTCGAAACTGTAATCGGTTCAAAATGGAAGCGACCCCAATTCCTATAACACGATTCAAAAATGGATTTTTCATTGTTTATGTACCATAAAAGTACAACATCATAATGTCATAACATCGACCATTGCTTATTTTAGGAAATTACTTTTGGACACTTTTAGAGATATTTATATTTTTGCATTTTTCTACTCTTTTAAAAAATAATAATAAAAGAAAAGAAAAATTGCAGCAGAAGTCTCAAATCTTTGAAACACTAGCAGATTTTTTTCAAACATTTGATTTGTTGTAGCCGTCACCTCTAATATTTTCAAACGTTGCATGTGAGACCCTTTTGAACGATTTTCATTCAAAATTCTGTCAGTTGACCAAAAAAATTATTTTAACCACATTTTAATAATTTTTAGAGGAGTAAAATGGTAACTCGCATTAAAATCAAAAATCAAAAAATAAAAGTGGTCTTCTTCTTTCCCAACCCACCTACCCCTACTCCCACCCTCACCCTCAACTCAAACCAAAAATCCACCGGACCACCGTCACCTCCACCTCCACCTCCACCTCCACATCCACATCCACATCCACAACCACCTACTACCGCCCAGCGTAGTCAAACAAAATAAATACTATAATTAAACTCATGTTCAGTAACAATCCTGTGGCCCAGAACCATGAAGCCAATTTTTAAAGACTAGAACAGATCATGTTCAATTAAAAACGTCAGTTGTTTCAACTCTTTCCTAATAGCTTTTGACTTCATTAGTCTTCTTTTTCCTTCAATTCACTGATACCAATGGCGATAGCCGCTGCCATAATGCTGTTATTCACAATCGTTTACCGACGCTGCCTTTCCTGTTCTTCTTTCAGTTCCTTCCGATCCTCTTCTTCGCTTTTCCTTCAGTCAGACACTCACCAACCGCTTCCAATTTTCACTGTTCAAAAACCTAATTCTCGCATTTTTGCTTCAATGAGCATCGAGGCTCCTAATAAGTTTTCTCCCGATTCATTTCTAGATTGTAGAGAAAGTGGTATTCTTCACTTTGTCAAGTATCATGGACTCGGAAATGATTTTCATATTGGTAAGTTTTGCATATCCTGTATATTTGTGTGTATATTTATTTACATTTATCTTCGTTTACTTGTATGTATAAATTTTGTTCGACTATATATGGGAAACTCCGATTACTTGACAATATGGGATTTTGGTGCAGTCTGCGTTGGGGTGGTTTTGTGTGGTGTGGGGTAGGAAATGTTTCGGGTGTGGGTGGATGAGGGTTGGTGGGTTGGGGAAGAAGAAGAACACTTTTATTTTTTGATTTTCGACTTTAATACAAAGTTACCATTTTGCCTCTCTGAAAATTGTTAAGATATGGTCAAAATAATTTTTTTGGTCAATTGACATAATTTTGGATGAAAATCGTTCAAAATGGCCTCACATGCAACGTCTCGAAAGGTTAGGGGTGATGGCTGCAACAAATCAAAGGTTTGGAGAAAGTCTGTTAGTGTTTCAAAGGTTTGGAACTTCTACTGCAATTTCCCTAAAATAAAAAATTGAACATATGTTAGTTTGTATTAGCTTATGGTCAAAATGGAAGAAGTTTTTCCATGATGAAAAAACATTATTTTTGTTGATTATATTGTAACATGCATTTGGATTATTAAAAGTAATGTAAATAAGGTTATAAGTTGAAGTTTCATCTTCCCAATCATTTAAATTAGGGAAAATTGCAGTCGAGATACCAAACCTTTCGTTTATTAGCAGACTTTGCCCAAACCTTTAGTTTATGCCACCGGAGATACCAAACCTTTAAAAAATGTGTGGGGCCAGTCCAAAATGACGGTTTCCGTCTGTTTGACCGCCAAAACCGTCAGTTAACCCCTTTAATGATATTTTCAAGAATTTTCCTCAAATAAGTGAAAGGCAACATGGGCATTACACACATTTCCCTCCTATTATATACTTCACTGTTTATTTCCCTCCATTTCTTTATCACTATATATTACCTACCTTCTCTCTCACAGGTAGTCAAAAAAATCAGCACGCACATGGAGGGTAATGTATGCAGATGTGGTTGCCCAGTGCAGATGAAGATCTTGTGGACGAACTTAAACCCAGGAAGAAGATTTCTCACTTGTCCTCGAAGTCAAGATGTGGGTGGATGCACCTTCTTTATGTGATGTGACCCTCCGATGTGTGAGAGATCGAAGGAACTGATTCCTGGTCTATTATGAGCTAGGAGGGAAATGGAAGCTGAAATCGACACCCTTCAAGCAACAAGACCAAATGTGTGGAAGATCTGGCTCTTCGGCTTTGTGTGTGGAGTGTTTGCAAAAATGGGCTTGTTCCTAGGTATGTAGGGTCAGATTGTAGGATTTTAGTTTTTTGTTCCAGAAATTTGAGTTTAGGGTTTCGAAATGAAGCCATGTGCTAGATGTTGTGAAATGCATATGTAAAAAGGAAAAATTGTATTGTACCTTTTGACTTGAAATTTAACGATCTTTTCCTGGCCTCTATGTAAAATGTGAAATTAAAAGAGCAGATTACACTTCAAACTTATCTGAAGAATGTGTAGCATAGGTACTAAACCTTATAACGATTCTCAAAATCAGTACCAAATATTTTCGAATGGTTTCAGACATAGTACCAAACATTTAAAAACATTGCAGTAAAGGTATCAAACGTTTGATAATACTTTCAGAGGAAGTATAAAACATTCTCATATATTTTCTAATCACCTGTACATAAGATCTTACAAATACAATTTCAGAAACCAACGACAAACAGCAGAAACATAATGCAACATATTCGACATCAACATTACAAAAATATATTTCCAGTTTAGTTTACAAAAAACCACAGCATTTTCCCAAAAAAGTAACTGTACTGTTCAGTTTACAAAAAACCACAGCATTTTTCCAAAAAGGTAACTATACAAGAGAAACCACATGATGTTCAAGATTGCGATCCTCTATTGTTGGAATTCTTTGTCTGTGACTTGGAGGTTTGTGTTGAATGTGCTTTTCTCTTCCCCTCCGCTGATCTAGTATGTATATCTTCTTGTGTGGTTGGTTGAGACCGTTGCTGTGAACTATCTTCACCAGGCAGTGCCTCCTTACAGCTTCTTTTCTTATGTTCAGGCCCTCCACAGCGTTTACACGTCATCTTCATGCCAGTCCTTCCCATCTTAACGCCTGCAGGTGGCTCTAACTGTGACCTTTTCCTCATTTTTTTGGGTCTGCCAGCCTGTTTTCTCTTCTAAGGTTGATTGAGAGGATGCTTTTCCAATTCTGGCAATAGTTCAGGCCCTGACATCGGGTGGATCATTGGGGAGTAACATTTGAGGTATGTCTCCTTTCTATACCATGGGTCGATGTACTCATATATGCCAATATCCCTTGAAAGTATGCCTGATATTGCATGGGGACATGATATTCCAGTGAGCTACCATTTTTTGCAAGCACATGCATGTTCTGTCAAGTTAACGCTCCATCTCAAACCGTCTCTGCTACTTATCTCAAATTTATGGTTGCCTGCATAGTCTGCCTTCAAGTACCTTGCCTCATACTTAACCTTCTCAATGATTTTCACAATTCTTGGCCCGAATGCATGATCCCACCTCTGTGCCGCTTCCCTTTTTTGCATTCATCCTTATCATTTGCTGATGCCGAATTTTCTCTAGCATGGAGATGATGGGCCTGTCTCTGGCAACAACAATGGAAGAATTGAATGCCTCACACAAATTATTAAGAAGAATATCACATCTCGAATGCTTTTCAAAATGGGATATGGTCCATTGGGAAGGAGGTTTTTCAAGGAACCAGTTGTAAGCCTCTTCACTTATGTCTTTTAACTCATTCATTGCACTCTTCCACTCTGGCACTGTTGTTGCCCTTGCTGCAGTCCAAAATAGGTTCTTAAGTGCCAGACCTTTGTGTGCCAAGGTAAAATTGCTATAAAGATGTCTAGCACAACACCTATGCTCCGCTCCTTCACAGTATTGACTTATGGAATCCACCAAACCCTTTTGTTTATCGAAAATGAATTTCCAAGCTCGAGGGTTGTGCATCCCTATGTCATGAACCAAAAATTCTATGAACCATTGCCAGTTTGTTTTGTTCTTTGCATCCACAATTGCAGGGGCGGAGCCCCATTAGATCCAGTGCGGGCATCTCCACTAGGCCCAATTTTTTTTTTTTTTTGAAAGCCTAGTTAACAACCCAGATGGAAGCCCAAGTAACCACAGCACATAACCCATTTACGTTTACCGACCCAGTCACCCAGACCCATCATTCAATTAACCCGTTTGAAATCAAAATCAAGCCAAACCCTTAATCGCTCTTCTCTCGACAGACTCGACTCTCGCTTGCTTCTCTCGGACTTGAAGCTCCGCCCATCTTCGCCCCTGCACCGGTGGCCGGCATCTCCTAGATTAGGGGCTTTAATCTCCTTCCCTTAGTTCCCTATAAGTGTATCAATTGAACTACCCTTTAGATTAGGTCGAAACTGAAGTGCATCTCCTAGATTAGGCCGCAACTGAACTGCCGTCTGCTAGTGCCATCGCTTCCCGCCAGGTGCCACCACACGGTCCACACCAGCTGCCGCCTCTAAAGAAGGTAATTAATTTAGATTTTCTTCCAAATTCCAACTGAACTGCCGTCTGTCGGTGCAAGATTACGAGATACAAAGATTGATTTTAATTTATGACTGTTGCTGCCTAATTTTCATTTTATCGATTTTGCCTACTGTTGGGAACTTGGGATTGGGGAAATAATTTTGCAGCTTGTCTAATTAATATCTTGTTTTCTTTCCTTGCTGCAGCCTGCAGATGTATCTTCTATTTGTTGAAGATTCTCATTCAGTCATTTTCACTCTGTCACATCAGGAAAACTTGGTATGTGAATTTATATTGTGAAATTGGATTGATAGTGTGAAATTGTGAATTGTGAAATAGTATAAATTGCATTGTGAATTTGTGATTTGGAAGGTGAATTGATATTGTGAAATTGTGAATTGTGAATTAGATTGTGAAATAGTATAAATTGCATTGTGAATTTGCGATTTGGAAGGTGAATTGATATTGTGAAATTGGATTGATAACGTGAAATTGTTAATTGGATTGTGAAATGTGAATTACACTTGCGAATTGAAATTGTGAAATTGTGAAATTGTGAATTTATGATCCTTTTGTTATTATGAATTATTCTCACTCACTTCAAGTAATAATTGGATATCAAATGTTTAAATCCAGATATCAAATGAATAGATACTTTCAACGAAAAAGGAACATAGATAGTGTTGACGAGGGGGTATCGAATAATGTGGATGTTGATGAGGGGGTATCGAATAATATGGAGTTTGATGTCACGAAACTTCCAACTGATGCTGGTCTAAGGATACCCATTTTGCATTACAATGCTAACATCCGAGATGAAGTTCGAAGAGCATATATGTTAAATGGTCCTTGTCAGCCCCAAGATCATGACTTTCCAAAACGACAATTTAGAGTAACAATTAGATAATTCAATCCTTCGTGGTTTAAAGAGTTCGGTAGTTGGTTGGAGTACAGTGTAGAGAAGGATGCTGTTTATTGTTTGTATTGTTATCTTTTCAGAACAAGTTCTGAAAAGCAAGGTGGAGGTGAGTCTTTTGTTGGCGAAGGTTTTACATATTGGAAAGATAAAAAAAGGCTTCATACTCATGTTGGACTTCATGATAGTGCATGTTCACAAAATTATTTTCTTTTGACTTAAAACTACCGCAAGTGTACGATTCGCTAACAAGTAATAAAGTGGATTAAATAAGTCCGAATATTATCCCACAGAGATTGATTTGTTCAAATTTTACCTACCGTAGCCTTAACCGAAACTAAATTACCAAAGTGAATGTAGACCTAATTGAATCTCAATCATGCAATTTTTTTATGATTAAATTGAAATTAATATGCAAAACAATAATTTAAAACTCTAGAATGAAATCTAAAAGTTGAGAACGCAGGTTGTTATAATTATTAGGAATGAAATACACTAGGATCACGAATTCCTATGCAATTATCACTTTAAACCCTAGTTTCACAATATGACAACACATTTCAATTTTGACGAATTAATGTTCCTAAGTCTATCAAATACTCTCTCTCGAGATGTATCAAACCTATTTCTACATACCATCAGTCTATATTTCTAGGACAGGAGCATATGTAAAAATGCATGCGGTTTTATGAACATTTAAAGATTCTCGTAGGGCATAGCGGTATATTTCTATCCACTATCAGACCCTACGATGATTTATGTTATGTCAAATCTATTTCAATTCTCTCGAATGCAAGAATAAATCACTTAAATTCACACAATTACGAGCCCTTAATTGCGGAAACATTAATTGCATATAAATCATTCAAAATAATAAAAATTGTGTCTTCACATCAAATTGCAAAACGAGAATATTAAAATTCAAATCACATGGTTTATCGATCTCCTAGCATAATAAAAATCTAGCCTAGCATGATTAAAATAACAAAAGACATCATATTTTGAATAAAAGATATCACCGGGTTACGAAATGTTGAATAAATCTTGAAGTTCTTCATGCCAATCTTTGTTCTTGCGCTCAAATCCTCTCCAAGAAGTGTTTTTCAGCCTCCAATTACGTTCTGGACGTCTCCGGAATGTTTTTGATATTTATATCCCGTGAAAAATTAGGTTACCAAAGGTGTTTCAATCGTATAAGGAAAGAAAAAAATCGCGTCGGAAACGTACCATGCGACCGCATGGGTATTCTCTAATTCTAATTGAATTCCCTGCATCATTTCGTGTGGCCGCACGACATTTCTACCATGCTACCGCATGGTAGAATTAAACTTTCATTTCCTGCAAATTGGTCTTTTTACTTGAATCTTCCACTTCTTTGCATCTTTTCTTCATTCTTCACATTCCATCATCCCAAAATGTCATCAATTTGTATTTGGCAAACTCAATTTCTTGATTTGTTCATTGGGTTAACTTTTGGATAATTGCACCTTGGTCCTTGAACTTTCACTTTGTGTCATTTTAGTCCTTTTTCGCGTCTTTTCTCATGTGTTTCACCATGTTCATCGGTGTCACCTACAATTCCCAAATGTAATGAAATTAAGTCACAATTCAATCATTTTATTTGTAATTAAGTTATGTTTGTGATCTAAATAAGTGTGCAAAAACATACTTATCAAACCCCCAAAACTTGAACTATTGTTTGTCCTCAAACAAGATAGTCACTAAATTCTGAATAAATATGGCTTAATACCCTGCTACGGCCAGGATTGGACTCAGTGTTTGATTTGATGAAGATATATCAGTGCAGAAATGACATCAACTTTCGCCTGTTAAATGCGTACTTGACGTGTGTGTGTGTGAGTTCATGTCAACATATTAGGTTCATGATGGATTTGAGTTCCGACCTCGAGTGGTCAATTCTATCCTTACTCGCTCGAGAGATACACAACCCCCTAAACTTATGTT